ACGTTGCAGGGCAGGCCGTTCGGGCCGTCGTATAGCTCCGGGGTAAAATGGCCGTGGCCACGCTGCGTTCCGGCGAATGCCAGAGTGGTGGGAGGTGGCGGCAGCTGCTGCCTCGACTCGTCTTGCTCGGTCTCGGGCTTCGTCTCGGAGTTGGTGTATGGCTAGGCATCGATGGGCGTCTCGGTCACGTTCTCCGTCTCGAGCTCCGTGTATGGCTCGGTGTATGTTTCGGCTGTGGTGATCATGGGGTCAGCGATGTGGTGTAGTGGAGCGGTTCGGCGAGCTCTGTCACCTCGGACAAGTGCGTGGCGGCGACAGCGATGTACACGTTGCAGGGCAGGCCGTTCGGGCCGTCGTATAGCTCCGGGGTGAAATGGCCGTGGCCACGCTGCGTTCCGGCGAATGCCAGAGTGGTGGGAGGTGGCGGCAGCTGCTGCCTCGACTCGTCTTGCTCGGTCTCGGGCTTCGTCTCGGAGTTGGTGTATGGCTAGGCATCGATGGGCGTCTCGGTCACGTTCTCCGTCTCGAGCTCCGTGTATGGCTCGGTGTATGTTTCGGCTGTGGTGATCATGGGGTCAGCGATGTGGTGTAGTGGAGCGGTTCGGCGAGCTCTGTCACCTCGGACAAGTGCGTGGCGGCGACAGCGATGTACACGTTGCAGGGCAGGCCGTTCGGGCCGTCGTATAGCTCCGGGGTGAAATGGCCGTGGCCACGCTGCGTTCCGGCGAATGCCAGAGTGGTGGGAGGTGGCGGCAGCTGCTGCCTCGACTCGTCTTGCTCGGTCTCGGGCTTCGTCTCGGAGTTGGTGTATGGCTAGGCATCGATGGGCGTCTCGGTCACGTTCTCCGTCTCGAGCTCCGTGTATGGCTCGGTGTATGTTTCGGCTGTGGTGATCATGGGGTCAGCGATGTGGTGTAGTGGAGCGGTTCGGCGAGCTCTGTCACCTCGGACAAGTGCGTGGCGGCGACAGCGATGTACACGTTGCAGGGCAGGCCGTTCGGGCCGTCGTATAGCTCCGGGGTGAAATGGCCGTGGCCACGCTGCGTTCCGGCGAATGTCAAAGTGGTGGGAGGTGGCGGCAGCTGCTGCCTCGACTCGTCTTGCTCGGTCTCGGGCTTCGTCTCGGAGTTGGTGTATGGCTAGGCATCGATGGGCGTCTCGGTCACGTTCTCCGTCTCGAGCTCCGTGTATGGCTCGGTGTATGTTTCGGCTGTGGTGATCATGGGGTCAGCGATGTGGTGTAGTGGAGCGGTTCGGCGAGCTCTGTCACCTCGGACAAGTGCGTGGCGGCGACAGCGATGTACACGTTGCAGGGCAGGCCGTTCGGGCCGTCGTATAGCTCCGGGGTGAAATGGCCGTGGCCACGCTGCGTTCCGGCGAATGTCATAGTGGTGGGAGGTGGCGGCAGCTGCTGCCTCGACTCGTCTTGCTCGGTCTCGGGCTTCGTCTCGGAGTTGGTGTATGGCTAGGCATCGATGGGCGTCTCGGTCACGTTCTCCGTCTCGAGCTCCGTGTATGGCTCGGTGTATGTTTCGGCTGTGGTGATCATGGGGTCAGCGATGTGGTGTAGTGGAGCGGTTCGGCGAGCTCTGTCACCTCGGACAAGTGCATGGCGGCGACGGCGATGTACACGTTGCAGGGCAGGCCGTTCGGGCCGTCGTATAGCTCCGGGGTGAAATGGCCGTGGCCACGCTGCGTTCCGGCGAATGTCAGAGTGGTGGGAGGTGGCGGCAGCTGCTGCCTCGACTCGTCTTGCTCGGTCTCGGGCTTCGTCTCGGAGTTGGTGTATGGCTAGGCATCGATGGGCGTCTCGGTCACGTTCTCCGTCTCGAGCTCCGTGTATGGCTCGGTGTATGTTTCGGCTGTGGTGATCATGGGGTCAGCGATGTGGTGTAGTGGAGCGGTTCGGCGAGCTCTGTCACCTCGGACAAGTGCATGGCGGCGACGGCGATGTACACGTTGCAGGGCAGGCCGTTCGGGCCGTCGTATAGCTCCGGGGTGAAATGGCCGTGGCCACGCTGCGTTCCGGCGAATGTCAGAGTGGTGGGAGGTGGCGGCAGCTGCTGCCTCGACTCGTCTTGCTCGGTCTCGGGCTTCGTCTCGGAGTTGGTGTATGGCTAGGCATCGATGGGCGTCTCGGTCACGTTCTCCGTCTCGAGCTCCGTGTATGGCTCGGTGTATGTTTCGGCTGTGGTGATCATGGGGTCAGCGATGTGGTGTAGTGGAGCGGTTCGGCGAGCTCTGTCACCTCGGACAAGTGCGTGGCGGCGACAGCGATGTACACGTTGCAGGGCAGGCCGTTCGGGCCGTCGTATAGCTCCGGGGTGAAATGGCCGTGGCCACGCTGCGTTCCGGCGAATGCCAGAGTGGTGGGAGGTGGCGGCAGCTGCTGCCTCGACTCGTCTTGCTCGGTCTCGGGCTTCGTCTCGGAGTTGGTGTATGGCTAGGCATCGATGGGCGTCTCGGTCACGTTCTCCGTCTCGAGCTCCGTGTATGGCTCGGTGTATGTTTCGGCTGTGGTGATCATGGGGTCAGCGATGTGGTGTAGTGGAGCGGTTCGGCGAGCTCTGTCACCTCGGACAAGTGCGTGGCGGCGACAGCGATGTACACGTTGCAGGGCAGGCCGTTCGGGCCGTCGTATAGCTCCGGGGTGAAATGGCCGTGGCCACGCTGCGTTCCGGCGAATGTCAGAGTGGTGGGAGGTGGCGGCAGCTGCTGCCTCGACTCGTCTTGCTCGGTCTCGGGCTTCGTCTCGGAGTTGGTGTATGGCTAGGCATCGATGGGCGTCTCGGTCACGTTCTCCGTCTCGAGCTCCGTGTATGGCTCGGTGTATGTTTCGGCTGTGGTGATCATGGGGTCAGCGATGTGGTGTAGTGGAGCGGTTCGGCGAGCTCTGTCACCTCGGACAAGTGCATGGCGGCGACGGCGATGTACACGTTGTAGGGCAGGCCGTTCGGGCCGTCGTATAGCTCCGGGGTGAAATGGCCGTGGCCACGCTGCGTTCCGGCGAATGCCAGAGTGGTGGGAGGTGGCGGCAGCTGCTGCCTCGACTCGTCTTGCTCGGTCTCGGGCTTCGTCTCGGAGTTGGTGTATGGCTAGGCATCGATGGGCGTCTCGGTCACGTTCTCCGTCTCGAGCTCCGTGTATGGCTCGGTGTATGTTTCGGCTGTGGTGATCATGGGGTCAGCGATGTGGTGTAGTGGAGCGGTTCGGCGAGCTCTGTCACCTCGGACAAGTGCGTGGCGGCGACAGCGATGTACACGTTGCAGGGCAGGCCGTTCGGGCCGTCGTATAGCTCCGGGGTGAAATGGCCGTGGCCACGCTGCGTTCCGGCGAATGTCAGAGTGGTGGGAGGTGGCGGCAGCTGCTGCCTCGACTCGTCTTGCTCGGTCTCGGGCTTCGTCTCGGAGTTGGTGTATGGCTAGGCATCGATGGGCGTCTCGGTCACGTTCTCCGTCTCGAGCTCCGTGTATGGCTCGGTGTATGTTTCGGCTGTGGTGATCATGGGGTCAGCGATGTGGTGTAGTGGAGCGGTTCGGCGAGCTCTGTCACCTCGGACAAGTGCGTGGCGGCGACAGCGATGTACACGTTGCAGGGCAGGCCGTTCGGGCCGTCGTATAGCTCCGGGGTGAAATGGCCGTGGCCACGCTGCGTTCCGGCGAATGTCAGAGTGGTGGGAGGTGGCGGCAGCTGCTGCCTCGACTCGTCTTGCTCGGTCTCGGGCTTCGTCTCGGAGTTGGTGTATGGCTAGGCATCGATGGGCGTCTCGGTCACGTTCTCCGTCTCGAGCTCCGTGTATGGCTCGGTGTATGTTTCGGCTGTGGTGATCATGGGGTCAGCGATGTGGTGTAGTGGAGCGGTTCGGCGAGCTCTGTCACCTCGGACAAGTGCGTGGCGGCGACAGCGATGTACACGTTGCAGGGCAGGCCGTTCGGGCCGTCGTATAGCTCCGGGGTGAAATGGCCGTGGCCACGCTGCGTTCCGGCGAATGCCAGAGTGGTGGGAGGTGGCGGCAGCTGCTGCCTCGACTCGTCTTGCTCGGTCTCGGGCTTCGTCTCGGAGTTGGTGTATGGCTAGGCATCGATGGGCGTCTCGGTCACGTTCTCCGTCTCGAGCTCCGTGTATGGCTCGGTGTATGTTTCGGCTGTGGTGATCATGGGGTCAGCGATGTGGTGTAGTGGAGCGGTTCGGCGAGCTCTGTCACCTCGGACAAGTGCGTGGCGGCGACAGCGATGTACACGTTGCAGGGCAGGCCGTTCGGGCCGTCGTATAGCTCCGGGGTGAAATGGCCGTGGCCACGCTGCGTTCCGGCGAATGTCAGAGTGGTGGGAGGTGGCGGCAGCTGCTGCCTCGACTCGTCTTGCTCGGTCTCGGGCTTCGTCTCGGAGTTGGTGTATGGCTAGGCATCGATGGGCGTCTCGGTCACGTTCTCCGTCTCGAGCTCCGTGTATGGCTCGGTGTATGTTTCGGCTGTGGTGATCATGGGGTCAGCGATGTGGTGTAGTGGAGCGGTTCGGCGAGCTCTGTCACCTCGGACAAGTGCATGGCGGCGACGGCGATGTACACGTTGCAGGGCAGGCCGTTCGGGCCGTCGTATAGCTCCGGGGTGAAATGGCCGTGGCCACGCTGCGTTCCGGCGAATGTCAGAGTGGTGGGAGGTGGCGGCAGCTGCTGCCTCGACTCGTCTTGCTCGGTCTCGGGCTTCGTCTCGGAGTTGGTGTATGGCTAGGCATCGATGGGCGTCTCGGTCACGTTCTCCGTCTCGAGCTCCGTGTATGGCTCGGTGTATGTTTCGGCTGTGGTGATCATGGGGTCAGCGATGTGGTGTAGTGGAGCGGTTCGGCGAGCTCTGTCACCTCGGACAAGTGCATGGCGGCGACGGCGATGTACACGTTGCAGGGCAGGCCGTTCGGGCCGTCGTATAGCTCCGGGGTGAAATGGCCGTGGCCACGCTGCGTTCGCGATGTGGTGTAGTGGAGCGGTTCGGCGAGCTCTGTCACCTCGGACAAGTGCGTGGCGGCGACAGCGATGTACACGTTGCAGGGCAGGCCGTTCGGGCCGTCGTATAGCTCCGGGGTGAAATGGCCGTGGCCACGCTGCGTTCCGGCGAATGTCAGAGTGGTGGGAGGTGGCGGCAGCTGCTGCCTCGACTCGTCTTGCTCGGTCTCGGGCTTCGTCTCGGAGTTGGTGTATGGCTAGGCATCGATGGGCGTCTCGGTCACGTTCTCCGTCTCGAGCTCCGTGTATGGCTCGGTGTATGTTTCGGCTGTGGTGATCATGGGGTCAGCGATGTGGTGTAGTGGAGCGGTTCGGCGAGCTCTGTCACCTCGGACAAGTGCGTGGCGGCGACAGCGATGTACACGTTGCAGGGCAGGCCGTTCGGGCCGTCGTATAGCTCCGGGGTGAAATGGCCGTGGCCACGCTGCGTTCCGGCGAATGTCAGAGTGGTGGGAGGTGGCGGCAGCTGCTGCCTCGACTCGTCTTGCTCGGTCTCGGGCTTCGTCTCGGAGTTGGTGTATGGCTAGGCATCGATGGGCGTCTCGGTCACGTTCTCCGTCTCGAGCTCCGTGTATGGCTCGGTGTATGTTTCGGCTGTGGTGATCATGGGGTCAGCGATGTGGTGTAGTGGAGCGGTTCGGCGAGCTCTGTCACCTCGGACAAGTGCATGGCGGCGACGGCGATGTACACGTTGCAGGGCAGGCCGTTCGGGCCGTCGTATAGCTCCGGGGTGAAATGGCCGTGGCCACGCTGCGTTCCGGCGAATGTCAGAGTGGTGGGAGGTGGCGGCAGCTGCTGCCTCGACTCGTCTTGCTCGGTCTCGGGCTTCGTCTCGGAGTTGGTGTATGGCTAGGCATCGATGGGCGTCTCGGTCACGTTCTCCGTCTCGAGCTCCGTGTATGGCTCGGTGTATGTTTCGGCTGTGGTGATCATGGGGTCAGCGATGTGGTGTAGTGGAGCGGTTCGGCGAGCTCTGTCACCTCGGACAAGTGCGTGGCGGCGACAGCGATGTACACGTTGCAGGGCAGGCCGTTCGGGCCGTCGTATAGCTCCGGGGTGAAATGGCCGTGGCCACGCTGCGTTCCGGCGAATGTCAGAGTGGTGGGAGGTGGCGGCAGCTGCTGCCTCGACTCGTCTTGCTCGGTCTCGGGCTTCGTCTCGGAGTTGGTGTATGGCTAGGCATCGATGGGCGTCTCGGTCACGTTCTCCGTCTCGAGCTCCGTGTATGGCTCGGTGTATGTTTCGGCTGTGGTGATCATGGGGTCAGCGATGTGGTGTAGTGGAGCGGTTCGGCGAGCTCTGTCACCTCGGACAAGTGCGTGGCGGCGACAGCGATGTACACGTTGCAGGGCAGGCCGTTCGGGCCGTCGTATAGCTCCGGGGTGAAATGGCCGTGGCCACGCTGCGTTCCGGCGAATGTCAGAGTGGTGGGAGGTGGCGGCAGCTGCTGCCTCGACTCGTCTTGCTCGGTCTCGGGCTTCGTCTCGGAGTTGGTGTATGGCTAGGCATCGATGGGCGTCTCGGTCACGTTCTCCGTCTCGAGCTCCGTGTATGGCTCGGTGTATGTTTCGGCTGTGGTGATCATGGGGTCAGCGATGTGGTGTAGTGGAGCGGTTCGGCGAGCTCTGTCACCTCGGACAAGTGCATGGCGGCGACGGCGATGGTCACGTTGCAGGGCAGGCCGTTCGGGCCGTCGTATAGCTCCGGGGTGAAATGGCCGTGGCCACGCTGCGTTCCGGCGAATGCCAGAGTGGTGGGAGGTGGCGGCAGCTGCTGCCTCGACTCGTCTTGCTCGGTCTCGGGCTTCGTCTCGGAGTTGGTGTATGGCTAGGCATCGATGGGCGTCTCGGTCACGTTCTCCGTCTCGAGCTCCGTGTATGGCTCGGTGTATGTTTCGGCTGTGGTGATCATGGGGTCAGCGATGTGGTGTAGTGGAGCGGTTCGGCGAGCTCTGTCACCTCGGACAAGTGCATGGCGGCGACGGCGATGTACACGTTGCAGGGCAGGCCGTTCGGGCCGTCGTATAGCTCCGGGGTGAAATGGCCGTGGCCACGCTGCGTTCCGGCGAATGCCAGAGTGGTGGGAGGTGGCGGCAGCTGCTGCCTCGACTCGTCTTGCTCGGTCTCGGGCTTCGTCTCGGAGTTGGTGTATGGCTAGGCATCGATGGGCGTCTCGGTCACGTTCTCCGTCTCGAGCTCCGTGTATGGCTCGGTGTATGTTTCGGCTGTGGTGATCATGGGGGTCAGCGATGTGGTGTGGTGGAGCGGTTCGGCGAGCTCTGTCACCTCGGACAAGTGCATGGCGGCGACGGCGATGTACACGTTGCAGGGCAGGCCGTTCGGGCCGTCGTATAGCTCCGGGGTGAAATGGCCGTGGCCACGCTGCGTTCCGGCGAATGCCAGAGTGGTGGGAGGTGGCGGCAGCTGCTGCCTCGACTCGTCTTGCTCGGTCTCGGGCTTCGTCTCGGAGTTGGTGTATGGCTAGGCATCGATGGGCGTCTCGGTCACGTTCTCCGTCTCGAGCTCCGTGTATGGCTCGGTGTATGTTTCGGCTGTGGTGATCATGGGGGTCAGCGATGTGGTGTGGTGGAGCGGTTCGGCGAGCTCTGTCACCTCGGACAAGTGCATGGCGGCGACGGCGATGGTCACGTTGCAGGGCAGGCCGTTCGGGCCGTCGTATAGCTCCGGGGTGAAATGGCCGTGGCCACGCTGCGTTCCGGCGAATGTCAGAGTGGTGGGAGGTGGCGGCAGCTGCTGCCTCGACTCGTCTTGCTCGGTCTCGGGCTTCGTCTCGGAGTTGGTGTATGGCTAGGCATCGATGGGCGTCTCGGTCACGTTCTCCGTCTCGAGCTCCGTGTATGGCTCGGTGTATGTTTCGGCTGTGGTGACCATGGGGGTCAGCGATGTGGTGTGGTGGAGCGGTTCGGCGAGCTCTGTCACCTCGGACAAGTGCATGGCGGCGACGGCGATGGTCACGTTGCAGGGCAGGCCGTTCGGGCCGTCGTATAGCTCCGGGGTGAAATGGCCGTGGCCACGCTGCGTTCCGGCGAATGTCAGAGTGGTGGGAGGTGGCGGCAGCTGCTGCCTCGACTCGTCTTGCTCGGTCTCGGGCTTCGTCTCGGAGTTGGTGTATGGCTAGGCATCGATGGGCGTCTCGGTCACGTTCTCCGTCTCGAGCTCCGTGTATGGCTCGGTATATGTTTCGGCTGCGGTGGGCATGGAAGTGAGTGACGTGGTGTATTGGCAGCTGGTGGGCGAGCTGCGTCACCGTGTTGCCGTGCATGGTTAAGGGTTTAATTATGTGGAAAGTGCACGAAGTTGCGTCACGAATGCAGAAAAAAGTACTTGAAGTAGGTAATACAAACCGTTGCAGAGGTACTGAGCCGTCAATCACCTGGAAGCCATTCGTCGTCTTCTTCGCTTGAGCGTTCGTTCTCATCTTCGCTGTCATCCTGCAATACAAAACAAAGTTATGAAATACCTCGGCTAAATGCACGTACTTGGCTTACCCGATGAGCCCAGAGCCGCTCTCGTGCACGCTGATTGCGCTCTTCGCGCTGGACCTCCGCTCGATCTTCAGGGGTGAGATCTTCTACGGGTTCAATGATATTACGGCGCTGGGCCCCTGCTCGGTCTTGGTGTACACGTAGTTGGCGCTGGGCCTCCGCTTGATCTTCGGGGGTAAGATTTCTTGCAGGTTCGATAGTGTTGTGCCACTGGACCTCAGCACTCATTTCGATACCGTCATAGATCCATTGTACTACCCGGATATAAGGGTAACGCTGATCGTCGGGCTCATCGGCGGCATTTCTTGCCGCGGAAATTTCGGGCGCGTCGTCTGGAATCACGACGGGTTCTAGTTGATGTAGGAAATCCGCTAGACGTCTTTCAGCAACTTGGTCCGGGCGCTGCACAGGTTGACCGTGTTCGGATCGCCCTGCGGCTTGGCTGTGGGCCATCTCGACCTGGTTGGAATGGGCTGGGCCCTGCTGTACGGCCGGCCCTGGTCCACGAGGATCAAGAGCGGTAGCGCGGGCTGGATTAGGTTCTGGTGCACGAGGATCATAGGCAGTAGCGTGAGCTGGGAGTAGGAGTTCTAGGTTGTTTTGATGTTGATGTTCGGGGCCCTCTTCCATTGGTGTTTGTTGCACTTGGTGTGGCGGATTCGGGGGAGGCTGGGGTTCCTGTTGAAGCTCGACAAAAGCATTCACCACATCGGGCCTTCTAATAAGGCGTGGCGGCCCCAGCACAAATTCTATGATGTGTCGGCGGATGTGTTGTCCTTGAACACCTTGGCGCATGAATTCACGACGCAACGCGTCCATTGCGCTGCCCGTCATCGAGACTCCGTGCGGCAACATTCTTCTGCATTGCATACGGAATTGACCACCCGAGATCATTTCCCATGCGAGACCTGCAAAATACGTATATAAATGTCCACTGAGGTTGCTAGGCGCTATGACATTGCAGAAGGCAACCTAAAAATAATCTTTATGTAGTTGACGTTCTAAACTTGTCGCCCTTGCCGTCCTCGCCGCCCTCGCGGCACTCGTCTCTCATCCTGGACGCATATGTTTCTACACAAAAAGGAAGCGAGCCCACACGCACTTTGGCTCCATACTATAATGCATATATTTGACCTACAGACTATGATTGGCCTAAAACGTGTCTAGCCTTCCCATAGTTGAGATCTGCGGCCGGGTAGGAAGAGTCGCCTTGAGGCCCGCCAACGATGGCCTCTGCCGGGAGTGCGGCTAGAAGGCAGGAACAACTTTGGCCCCGAGGCCAAAACAGCGATGGACCACGGAACCCCACACTGCAATCTACTTTGCGTTAGACAAGCGACTGATCGGTAACTGTAGCATAGCCGATTTTTCTGTGCAGCGTTCGCTCATGGGGAGGTGCAGCGTTTGCTCACCGAATGAGCGTAGTGTCTTCAGTCACTATTATCGGCGCGGCGTTTGCTCGCCAGCCTATTATGAAACTTAGTTTTTTTCTAACACTAGTGTGCTTTACGAAACAGTTCCTCGGAGAGGACGACAACTCTGTAGACCGTTGAGCTCGTCACATAGCTTCATAGAAGCCGTCCGTCAGGTCGATGGCGCTATAGATGACGCTACCTGGCATGGAGTCGAGTACCATGTCCTTCCGCGGGATCGGGGTCTGTGTCGGGATGGTCGCAGCTTATTGAACACGTGGACGATGCGCCAGCCGCCAGTCGCCTTCTTCACACAGAACGTGGGGCTAGAGTGTGGGGAGGTGCTATCGCGGACGTGGCCAGCCAGGCGGCGCTTTTCGAAGAACTCGTCGATGGCCTTGACCTGGTCTCGCGGTAGTGGCTACTGCCGCGTCACGCAGTACTTCGTTCCGGGCGCGAGGTCGATCTCGTGCCGAACTCCGCGGTCGGCTGGAAGCTCGGCGGGGATCTCATCAGGGAAGACGTCTTCAAACTCGCGCGCGGTATCGTAGACTGGGTTACCCGACTTCTTCAGCGCTTCCCAGGACTGCGCTGCGAATCGCTCTTCGCGGGCAGACTTCGGTTCGGCACTCCTCGGCCGCGACGACGCGTCGTCACCGCTGAGTGCGTGAAGACCCTCGGCTGTCCCGTTGGTCTCGGTGATCAAACACACCTGCTCGATGTCACCAGCCTTCGGATCGCGAAGGAAGTGTTTCCACGAGAGCCCGGGGAGCCGAGTGATTCCGCGAGCGTCGCGAGGTGGACTCGCGACTTCGATGACCCGCGTGCCCCGTCCACGTATTCGACAGCGCAGACAGATTCCGTCGGGGGAGGTGCGGTTTTAGTGTTGTTCCGTGGCCTGAGACGCTGTCGCTTGGATTTCCTCCTCTTCCTCCTCGAAGACCTCGAGCAGGAGCTCGAGGTGGACGACTCGCTGGCACTGGACGACACATTGTCGCTATCGCTGGACGATACTTCACCCTCCTCTAGGTGCGGAGTGTCGAGCCCGTCCGCACCGGAAGTACGCGGGAGCACCGCTTGCTCGACCGCCTTGTTGATTCGCGGGAGCCCACGTCGCTCGACCGCTTCGTTGGGGCGCGGGAGCCCACGTCGCTCGACCGCCTCGTTGGTTCGCGGGAGTCGCCTTCGCTCGACCGCCCTCGCAACAACCTCGCTTCGCTGCGAGGTTTTGGGTTCATTTGTCGGTTCATCCAACAGCACCGCACATGCCATACAGAGAGGGCCATCGCTCGCTCTGTGTAGGGCTTGCGTCGTGGATGAACGATCCACGACGGTAACGTGGGGCCAGTCCGTCGGAGCGACCAGGAGATGAGTGAACACTTCACTCACATCGTAGTCGGCTCGACGCTTGACCGATCGGGCCAGCCAGTCGATCTTCGGCTGATACCGTGTCAGCCACGGTATGTCCAAGATGCAGTCGAACGCGTAGTTCATCTCGATCACCAGGAAGTCGTCGTTGCTACGGAAGCCGTCGAACGTGTACGGCGCGTGATATCATGCCGTGGGACACGGTGTGGCATGCCGTCAGCGAGCTTAATGAAGACGACGCCGGGACCCTCGCAGACGGATATGTCCGAGGAAAGAAGCGACAAACACGAGGCGTGGAAGAAGTTGTTCGTTGCGCCCGAATCCAGGAGCGCACGGAGAGGACGCCGCGCGCCGGCGACGTGCAGGCTGACGATGATCAGTCTGTGGTCGCCGCTGGTGGTGGTGGCATTGAAGTGTGCGTGAAGCAGTGGGGGCTAGGAGATCGGGTTGCCACCGGGGGACCCGGACCTCCGTTCCAGCCAGTAGGGCGCCCCGCACCTACTGGTCCCGGTCGTTTTTTGTTGAACGGCCAGGAGCTCATCGTCGGCGCGAGCGACTGCAGCGTGCATCGGCGCAGGCGCGTGGCAGATTGCCGCGCGATGACCCAACTTCCCACAACGGTGGCAGGTCAGCGAACGAGAATTGCGGCCGCCGCGCGAGTAGTACCGCCGGTTATTCTTCGCGGCTTCGACGGCATCGATTTCCATTGGCTCGGGCATCGCTGCCCGAGTGTCCGCCGGCAACTGTCGCGAGTACGAAGCGGATACCGTGTAGTCCTCGCGCAATGCGAGGACGAACGCTTCTTCCAGCGACTTCGGCTCGGCACGCGTGAGACAGTAGCGCGTCATTCCTTCTCGCATGCCAAACACGAAGACGTGGACCTGCGAAGCCATGTCGATGGGGCTCGTGACGATGCACGAGGCCAGGTGACGAGTCTTCTGTACGTAGTCGCGCATGGACAGCTTGCCAGGCTTCAACGCGAAGAACGCAGCACGCATCCGCGATTCGTCTTGCGGAGGCTCGAACGCAAGTCGAAGGTCTTTCTGGAGACTGTCCAGACTCGGGAAGGCGTGTTGGTCTACAACAAGCTTGCCAAGGGCCCACTCCTTCGCCTTCCCCGACAAACGCAACAGGAGGAAGTTCACTTTCGCCGTCGGCGCCTCGATCAGTCTCGAGGCGATGGCGACGTCGATCTCCCTGAACCAGCGGTTCAGGGGCAGTCGGTCTTGGCCGGCGCCGGAATACGTCGACGTCTCCATCTTCACCGCATCGTTCCTGAATGCGAGGGAGTTGACACTCGCCGCTTGGCATCGGCGAGCTCGCGTTCCATGAACTCTTGGGCAGCCTGGCGTTGTTGGTCGGTGGTCGCTGAGCTCAGCAGCGACGTGACGACGAACTCGCCGGACACGGCAGCGAGGCGGTGAAGAGCTTCCCACTCAACCCGGGTGAGGTGGGGAAAACTCGTGTGGTCAAGGGTTACACCGGACCCTTCGGACATCAGAACTTGGCTCATCTTGGTCTTGGACGTTGGAAGGACTACAAAGTGCTACCAGGTGTAACGGGGTAAGAGATACCGTCACTAGCGTACACTGTAGATAAGAGGAAGCTTGCAATAATAAGCTCAAGTCTTGTCTTTAGGGTAAAATCAACTCTGTTTAAGTATGGGACGGGGGACGGAGGCCCCCTTACCCTTGTGAACCACTCAAATCTAAGTCTGCACCTGATTGGATGAAATGGGTCTGGCTCCCCA